AATAATAATAATAATAATAATAATAATAATAATAATAATAATAATAATAATAATAATAATAATAATAATAATAATAATAATACATCGAAATCATCGACCCTTGATAACCTAACAGGTAGAGCACGCGAGCTCGCACAAATGGACAAAACTGATAATAAAAGGAATTACAAAAAACATAAACCGATTGAATCACCTGGCAACAGTGACAGTCCAGGGCGTGATGTGCTGATCCTCCGTGGCGCTATCCTCGCCGTAAACGTCCTCGACGCCGCCGCTGACGGCGGATTTCGTATCCTTCTCAATCGCCGGCGAGGATGTCGGCGGCGCAGTCTCCCTCATCTTCTTCAAAGTACTCTCCATCAAGACGACATTTCCATCGCCCGGCCTGTCGTTTGAGCTGATAGCCGCCGCCACCACCATCCGCGGAGCTGGTTTTCTTCCCTGCCTGGACGGCGCCAAGCTTTTCGATGCCCCATAAAGAGAATTATTCTGCAACAAAAAGAAAAAAATAAAAATTAAAAATCAAATCTTTAAACCTCAGATTCCTACATTAAACCATTTCTTCTTCAAATGGGTTTTTTTCTTAGGTGAAATTTTGGAAATGGGTCATGCTTATCTTCCCAGAAAGCAAATAAAAACACGATAAACAAACCGACAGATTCAAGAATTACCAGAGAAGAGGTTCCGTTTAAGGAAAGCATGGTAGCTGGAAAGTGTAAATGAGAGAGAGAGAGGGGTTTTGGACTGCAGAGAGAAAAAAGGGGGGCAAAAAAAGGAGAAAGGGAAAGAGAATAGGGTAAAGAGGTGGGTTCCTCCTTATAGGATCTCTCCTCCCCTCTTTCTCTCCTCCTTCCTTCCCTAACTTCCTCTCCTCTCCCTCTCTCTCTCTCTCTTTCCTAATTGTCCTCCTCAGTTTGCTTTGGCAACTATGTCAAACCTGCACAAGGTTTTATGACTTGTTCCCTTCCAACTCTTTTTTTATTTTTTTTTTTATTTTTTATGTTTTAGTTTAGTCCTTGTTTAAAAAAAGTTTTGTGTTTAGAATAATATATCTATTCTTAGATCTTAATCCCTTATAGCATCTCCAAAAAACTTTTTATTTTAGACTTCTTATTTGGAGAAATAAGGAGTCATCCTATATCCATTTGCTTCCTATTTTCTGTTGTTCTCCAAGAGTCTCCCTATTTTTAATTTGAATATGAACCAGGCCCACAAATCTATCTAAAAACCCACTTGAAGCCCACTTGATATTGTAATTGTTAACAATTATAATAGTAATTAACTAATTTTATAATATTCACTAATTTTTTTAATTATTATAATTAGTAATTTATTATTAATTATTTTTTATAATTTTTCCTTTATTAATATAATATTATTTCTTTGTAGATTATTATTATTATTATACTAATTGTTATTATAATTTATTAATTTTTAATCAAATAAATTATTTTTTTGAACAATTTTTATTTTTTTTAATTTTAATTATTGTTATTAGTAATTTATTATTAATTATTTGTTATATTTTTTCATGTATTAATATAATATTATTTCTTTTTAAATTATTATTATTATTATTATTATTATTATTATTATTATTTGAAATGGGGGTCGTTTTTTCCTCCCCAGAAATGAGGAAGATAAGCCTCTATTTGAGGTCACCCTAAAAATAGGACCAAGTTTAGGAGAACTGTTGGAGACAGTTTTTAAGAGAAAATCCCTATTTTTGAGATAAAAAAAGAGAAATAGGGAGGCTCTTAGAGATGCTCTTATATAATATAACCCTCTATAGATTCATCGATTAATAACTTGTTTAGTCTAAGTAGTCGGCTCACAATATTCGGAAGCTTATTTGACATAAATATATCACTGGTATTGATGTATCAATAGAGTGGGATTAACTAATTAAAATTAAAAATCAAGATAAATTATAAGTTTGAAAATTACTGTAAATTATATTTATCTTTTTTTATGCAAAAAAACATATATTCTCTTTCATTTCCTATTTAATTATTTTGTATTCTTTTTTCTTTAAGTTTATAACTTTTTATTTGTATTTTGTTTTTAATATAACATATAAATGATTAATCATCTTTTAACAATATTCAATTTTTTTAATTGCATTTATAAAAGAATAGTATAATTTTTATTTATAAATAAAATTTCAATATATTTATCAAACAAATTGAATAATGAAAAAAATAACTATAATTCATCTTATATAGTAATAAAAAATTTATTACTATTCCTGTATCATAAAACATTATTTTAGTGTATATTTTAATAGATTTGAGAAAAAAAAATGTGAAGTTTGGTATGAACACGAAATAAATGGTCTAAAAATTATTTTGTTGATTGACGGATTCAATCAACGGTTAGAATAAAGTTTAAAGAGGACAAAAAGGTGAGATAAGAAAGATGTACGAGAAAATAGAATGTTATTACTTAATTGCGAGGTCGGACTCTGATAGTGAGGTCGGCACTTTAGTTATACTTGAGAGTATTCATGATAATTTGTTACATATTAGATATAAAAACTAGTAGTTGGAATATTCAACAACCTATAATTAATGAAACGGGTGCCCTATTTATAGTAACCTTAATTTGACACTATTCAGACACTATTTATCTGTCTTGTCGCACAGTAGCTCTGTCGGGGAGGTCCGCGCTTCTCTTACGGATATTAAATGCGATTTGAGGTATATTTAATCATTACATGTCAGACATTTAATGCTCACATGGGGGACATTAAATGCTGACAGGTCTTTCTCCCGAGCTAGGTACTACATGGTGATAGACTAAGGTGGTTTGTTCCATCGGCAATCATTAGCTGCCAAGTGACAATATTATATTATTTTCAAACCCTGTGTCGCGCGGGAGCTGATCCCAGGGAATCTCCAGGTCGGACTTTCAACATTTACTGATCCCCCAGCTTTCGGGAACCTATTTATATGTTCGGCGTCCGCGGAGGTTGGCCCTTCAGCTGGGTGGTCGAGGTGCCGATCTCGGAGGTGGTACCGCTTGTCTTCTTGGTTGACCTAACATTTCTCGGTCAGCTCGGCATTTAGTCAATATTCGCTGACCGGTTCGGGTTCAGGGTCGTCTTCCCTCGGTTCCTCATCCGAAGAACCGGGAATCTTTAATTTGCTCAATTCAGATATTTATATATTTCTTGACCGAAATAAAAAGTATAAAGAAATTGGATGTTATAGTTACTTTTAAGAAACAAAAAATATAAATATTCATTGTATTTTATAAAGCTAGACAATTTTAAGTTTATACATGTAAATTTATATTGTAAAACCACTACATAATATAAAATATAATTATAATTAAACAATCCAAATTTTTTTTTTTTTTTTTTTGTTTTTCTACTTCAAAATAAACTTATGGACTAGGAAATTTTGTTCATGTCAAATTTTATAAGTGTGACTAAAATATTATCATGAAAATTGAGTGTAAAAATTATACATATTATTATATCTCTTTTAGTTCTTTATTTTTTTTTTGTATATTTTTTACAATTTTACAATAAAAATAAAATTTATTTTACTTTTTTTATATGAATATTATCATATAAATACTCTACTAATATAAAACATAATTCTATTTAAATTGTTTTTCAAGTATAACATTCTATTATAAAAGTGTGTAGTATAAATGTTGAAGTTATAACTTATACCCTTTGAATTTACAGTTCTAAATGAACACAAATATTCGGTAAGAACAATTATTCACGTATGAATTATAAACCAGAATGCATTACGTATTTGACCACTAAATATAGCTTTCATGAACAAATAGAGACTTTTCTAAAGCTTATGTGTAGATTACAGAGTTTTTCAGTTTTATGTTAAATTATGGGAAGATGCTACGGTTTCGTTACGGAACCATTCCGTCGAGATTTGTAACCGTTGGATCAACTATCTCTGACGGTTACATAATGATCCAACGGTTACAAACCCCGACGGAATGATTCCGTAACGGGACTTTAGCATTTCCCTAAATTATGATATTTGTAATTATACGTGTTATATTTTTTTATTAGTCCTGAATGAATAGTCCAATTCGGCTTTTAATTTTAATAATATTTATTAGAAATTTAAAATTATAAAATATTTGACTAACTTATACATTTTATAAATATATATTGAAACTTAATAAATTTTTATTTGTTATTATTTTCTCACATATGAATGTCAAGTTAATTATTGTTCGACAATTGTGATTGCATGTGTAGAATAAAATAAATATTATTTGACTTTGTAAAATGTATATATAAAAAAATTATATACAAAACCATTTGTTTACTAAAATAAGAAATGGATCGACTCTAAGGGTTTTGTTTGGGCTTTAATGCCCATGATTAAAAAGATAATACCACCAACCCAATATTTGCAAACAGGCCCAGCTAACTAGGCGGCCGTTAAACTCTAATATAAATGCCCAACAACCGCCCATTATATTCACCAAATTTCTCAAACATTTCATCATTTAATCCACGTTTCCCACTTAATTTAATTAATTATCGTTTTCAATGATACATTTGTGATTTTATTTTGTAAATCACTAACAACGTATTCTAATAACCTAATAAATATCTAGTTATTTGTCATCCTACATTATTGAATTATGCTACTTTGGCATAATTTTTTGTCATAATGAATGGTTTGTAAAACTTCAAAATATTTAATATTGTCACCTATGTATTATTTCAAATTTCATGTCAATTGTTATGTTTACTGTAAAATAATCCTATATTAATGACAAAATTGTATAAATTTTTATATTTTATATTAACATCAAATGTTAATGCATTAACAAATATTAGTGATATATACTGATATAGAAGCAACGTATTTATATTTCTATATATATAGTAAGTTAAGTTTCTCGATCACCTGTTTTATAGTCTTTAACAAAACCTAATTGGTAGTTGAGTCTATTATGCAATTGTCAAAGTTAATTAATCAAACGCGCAAATATCTTGAAATTGTAGAGTACTAGGGGAAATTACATGTCTTTATCAAAAATAGAGTCAAATTTTATGTCACTATCTCAAATTCATGTGATCACTATCCATCATGACCTTCATATTGAATTGTACAAAGCTATGTAATGTTAAAACTGATCTATCCCAAAGCAAAAACAGATCTAAAAAATTTCGCCTCCTCTCCTCGCCTTCCCTTCTCTCCTCCTTCCTTCGGGAGGCAGTCAGAAGCACACCATCTATCTCTTAACGCTTTCAGTCTTCAACCAATCACACAAAAGATGAAATCTTTTGCACTTCAAACCACGTATCTGTACGTGACATAACGTCCAGCAGTCTCACTGGGCCGGATAATTTTCACAACTTGTCCGCGCTTCATCCCATAGTACTTGGCAATCGGGTCAGTTATCTGAATACGAGGCAGCTGTGGTCCAACAGAAGCATTAGGAAACATGTTGTCAAGAGGAAGATAAGAAAAACCAGTAAATGACTAAAAAGAAAAAAAGGAAATAGCTTTCCAATGTCGATGGCAAAGTATTTTTCTATAATATACATAATTGTGGCAGAATGTAAAAGGAAGTGGTAGATTTGTAATCAGATTGTATTTTTGGCTCGTGCAGACAATAAGCAAACTTTGCAACTAATTCACAACATTTCTCACCTAATTCAATTCTTGGCTTTTATTTGCAGGTGCTACAAACAGATTCTGAT